GAATGTTTGTACATAAATTCCTTTCATTGACCTAAAAAGAATCATTTTTACTCTACAAGAAACAAAGTTCAGTGAGAACAAACACTACCGGAAATGTGATGGATCCCAGTACAAAATGTTTTTTTTCAGTGTGTATTCTGCACAGAATTCTTCATAATTTTCAACATTTTAGGTATATTTATTCTATGACGTATAAGAGACATTCTCTCTCTTCCATCTGCTGCCAATGACCCAGTCTTTACCTCTGTTCAAGTTCTTCAAGCCATCAGTGCCATCTTTTTTTTTATTTTATTTTATTTTTTAAGTAAGAAGTTTTCATTGTGGAAATATCCTGGGTGGAGAATTCTTTTTAAAAAGAAAATGCCTCATCTCATACATCAATCCTTTACTGAAAAAATCTGTTATACTGTAGTTATTTCTATCTTATCATTCAATTCAGATTTACTCCGATTTTAATCCCATGGTCTATGAAAGAGTGCAGTTTCCCTACTTTTCATCTGCAAAGTCACTTCTCAGCTCACAAACCCACAGGCAGATGGGTTTCTATTTCATTCAGCTTAATTTTTATCATGCACATGACTATACTTAGAAGACCTTTACAAATATCTGATCTAAACTTCTTCTGTAATCAATTCTGTAATCAAAAAATTAAGAAGGAGATTTCTTCTAGATAAAATTTGGATATAGAAGCGGGGTTTTTCAGAAGTGTTTATGTGACTTCCAAAAGCACTCCCCATCAGAAGACAATTAATCTTGTGCTTTGTTATCATTTAGGTGATTGTGATAATCTCTAGCATCAGTTTAGCATTTTCATTTGTTTGTTACTTCAGTTCTAGCTAGGATTCTGTTCTTTTATTTAAAGAAAAGAAATCAAAGTAACATTACCTTTTCCCATCCTCTGTGAATTCAGTAACATGACACTCAGAAAATAGTTAGGATTTATCTGAGCAGACTGAAGGAATGCAGAACAGAGAACATTTTTTCTGCTGACCTACACAGGAACACATTGCAGCTCCACTTAGTTCTTCCTTCTGATTGCTGTGTAAGTGCTAACCAGATGGAGAGCAAACCAGTCTCCACAAGGACAGAGAGCAGAGCCTTGCACCCATGCTGTATGGATGGCAACAGTAATATACCATCTTTCCAACCACTCTTTTGAACACAGTGACCTCCCGCTTAAGGAAAAGAGTTTGTTTTCTTCTGACTTTCCCTCATTAAAAAAAAAAAAAAGTATCGGCATTTGTGTAGTCTCTTCTGCTCACCAATCTGGCTGTGCTAACAATGATTCAGCATCTATATATGTTTTCTCTGTAAGCACCAGTGATAGGACCCACAGGAACGGTGTTAAACTGAGGCAGGGGAAGATTAGGCTGGACATGAGGAAGAGGTTCTTCACCGAGAGGATGGTCACACACTGGAACAAGCTCCCCAGGGATGTAGTCACTGCACCAAGCCTGTCTGAATTTAAAAAGCAATTGGACTGTGCACTTAGTCACATGGTCTAAACTTTTGGGCAGACCTGTGCGGTGCTAAGAGTTGGACTTATGGGTCTCTCCCAACTCAAGATATTCTATGATTCTATTGTTCTATGATCTATAAGAAACATAAATTTTACGTATTTTGCATTTTCCAGAAGTCGGAACATAATTAAGCTTTTTTATTCTGCTCATTAAGATAAACCTGTCTCCTTTCTCACCTATGGCATAAAGCTGCATGTGCATATATATTTATTGTAGAATAAGTGGTTATCATTTCTACAATTTGCTCTAAAATCAGATGAAGAGTGTACGCAAAAGAAAGTCAAACCAAAGTGATGAGTGACCTGAGACAGGAGAGCAATCAGTTAATCCACAGATGAGCATGGTATAGAACCAGATAAGTAGATTAGATGGAGCAAAATCTGGATCAGACAGCATAGAGAGAAAAATAAACAACATAAAATAGCAGTCTTCAACACTTGACTAAATAATCCAAAAGTCTTCTGACAATGCTAGCAAATGGTTGTATATTTTTAAAACTGCTTCATAATACACACGTGCAGAGGGACAAAATTAAAACAGCAGCATTCTTTTAACTCAGGAATTATTATTTTTTTATTATTATTCTTTGTTGTTGTTGTTGTTGTTTGTTTTGTTTTGTTTTGTTGTTTGTTTTTCTTTCAAAGTGGCTGGGATTGTTTGGAGACCTAGTATATAATTTATATGAATCCCAGTAATTTAACAATTTATAATCTTAGTGCAGAGAGATCAGAATAATAAACTGTAAATAATTTCCAAATTATTGCCACTGGCATTCACACATTTTTTCTTCCAAATCCCTTCTCAGAAATCACTTCTTCCACAAAAAATCATAAATACTAATTTATTTAACTTTCTTTAAAATAATAACTTCTAGATTTCTAATAGAATGAATGCATTATGAACATTTGTCTTGAAAAATGCTAGTCTGCATTTGAGAAACGTGTTAAAATATGTTATACAAATATATCTGTAATTGTTAGTCACTTAGGTGTAATTTTAGTAGAGTATGAATCTGTTGACTGGATCTTGGAAAAATGAGATGTTTAATAATTTTGTGTTTTCAGGTCTGTCCATGCTAAGTTGAAGCCACAAAATATTGTATTATTAGATATTTACTTAATAACTTCTTGGTGCAGGTGTTAAGGGAGCCAACTAGGAAAGATGTCCTCTTAGATCTGTTGCTGGAGAACAGAGAGGGTCTTGTAGGGAAGATGGTAATTGGCGGATGTCTTAATCATAGCAACCGTGAAGCGGTTGAGTTTAAAATTTTTGGTGACACCAAAACTTCATCCCTGGATATGGTGAGAGCAGATTTCAGACTTCTCAGGGAACTAGTTAACAAGGTCCCCTGGAAAACTTTTTTGAAGGTGTTGGCATCCATCGGTGCTGGTCAATCTTTACGCACTGCCTCCTAAAAGCAGAGGATTAGGATCAAAATATCAGAAGTCAAGCAGCCAGGGCAGCAGGCCAGTTTGGCTGATCAGGGATCTTCTTCTGGAGTTTAGGCATAAAAAAGAAAGTATACAGCTGCTGGAAGATGGGTCAGGCAACGCGGAAGGACTACAAGGATATTCTTTGTATTTGTAGGGAGAAAATTCGTGCAGCCAAAGCCTAATTAGAGTTGAAGCTGGCCAGGTCTGTGGGAGACAATAAAAAGGGCTTTTTTTTAAAAAAAAATATGTCAATAGAAAAAGGAGGACCAGAGAAAACTTAGGCCTGCTACTTGATGGGGATGGTCACCTCACAGACAAGGACATAGACAAAGCAGAGACGTTTAATGCCTTCTTTGCCTCTGTTTCAATGCTAATGATAGGCTTCAGGACCCCAGGTGCCCTGAGCTGGAGGACCATGATTGTGGGAATGATAAACTCCCAAATGACCCTGAATATGTGCAGGATTTGCAACTCCACCTGGATGAATACAAGTCCATTGGTCTGGATGGGATTCATACCAGTGTTCTTAGAGAGCTGGTTGATATCATTGTGGGACCTCTCTCAATTCTTTTTCAATGGTCTTGGGAATCTGGAGATGTCCCAGTTGACTGAACTGGCAAATGTTATACAAATTTTCAAGAAGGACAAGAAAAGGGAACCTGGCAACTACAGGCCTGTCAGTCTCAGGTCAGTGCCCCATAAAATTATGGAGAAGGTTATTCTTGAAGTTATTGAAGTGCACCTGGGGGACAATGCAGTCATTGGTCCCAGTCAACACGGGTTCACAAGAGGTAGGCCCTGTTTGTCAAATTTTATTTCCTTTTATGATAAGATCGCCCATCTAGTTGATCAAGATAAACCAGCTGATGTGATTTTTTTGGATTTCAGTAAAGCTTTTGACACAGTTTCCATAGGATCCTACTGGACAAAATGTCCAGCATACAGCTAGACAAAATATCATAGGATGGATGAATAATTGGCTGAAAGGCAGGGCTCAAAGCGTTGTGGTAAATAGGTCAGCATCAGTCTGACAGCTGGTCACCAGTGGGGTCTGCCAAGGCTTCATTTTAAGGCCAATTATCTTCAATGTTTTTATAAACGATTTGAATGTAGAACTACAAGATGTTTTGAGCACATTTGCTGATACTAAACTTGGAGGAGTTGTTGGCTCTGTTGAGGGTGGAAAGGCCTTGCAGAGAGACCTGGACGGACTGAAGAGCTGGGAAATCACCAACCGCATTAAGTTTAACAAGAACAAGTGCACCTGGGACAGGGCAACCCTGACTATACATACAGACTGGGCGACGAGATGCTGGAGAGCAGTCCCACAGAGAGGGATCTGGGGGTTTTGACTGATAGTAAGTTGAATATGAACCAGCAATGTGCCCTGGCAACCAGGAGGGACAACCATATCCTGGGGTGCATCAAGCATGGCATTGCTAGTTGGTCAAGGGAAGTGATTGTCTCACTCTACTCTGCGCTGGTGAGGCCTCACCTCAAGTACTGTGTGCAGGTCTGGGCACCACAGTACAAAAAGGACATTAAACTATTGGAGAGTGTCCAGAGAAGGGCTACAGAGATGGTGAATAGCCTAGAGGGGAAGACTTATGAGGAGCAGCTGAGGTCTCTTGGTCTGTTCAGTCTGGAAAAGAGGAGGCTAAGGAAAGACCTCATTTCAGTCTACAGCTTCCTCGTGAGGGGAAGTGGAGGGGCAGGTGCCAATCTATTCTCTTTAGTGACCAGAGATAGGACCCATGTGAATAGTGTCAAGCTGTGACAGGGGAGGTTCAGGCTGGGTATCAGGAAGAAGTTTTTCACTGAGAGGATTGTTGAGCATTGGAGAAGTCTCCTTAGGGACTTAGTCACAGCACCAAACCTGTCAGAGAGTTAAAGAAGCATTTGGACTGTGCACTTAGTCATATGGTCTAAAATTTTGGGTAGACCCATGTGATGCCAGGAGTTGGACTCAATGATCCTTATAGGTCCCTTCCAACTTGGGATAATCTATCATCCTATGTTCTATGATCCTATGGTATCTACCAAATTCTTAGAGATAGTCCTTATTAGCCTACAAAATTCATTTGGGGGTATTACCAAGACAACAATTCAGTACATTCTGGGATCTTCCTGGTTCATTTTATTCCCTGCAAGCCTGAAGATGTCAAACCATTTTATGAATAGAACAGATAACTGAAGTCTGAAAGTCTGAGTGATTTCTTAGTGTGCCTTTATTAATTTATCTATTCTTACTTTGGAACTTCCATTAGAAATGCAAAACATCAGTTACCCCTAATTAGCAGTAACATTTAGAAAGAGAAATTTTGACATAAAATCAGTTGCAAAATGAACTCTGAGATTCAACAAATACCCTTTCTCCAATAATATTGCATTTTTGCAGTAAGTCATAAGTCATAGCAACAAAATAATAAAATGTAGATCCAGAAAATAATATAGTGTAATACAGGTGACTCGAGAATATAACCCAGTTTTCTCTCCTTTCTTACATGAATTCTTGGATATTTCAATACAACTGACTAATGCTCTTAAAATATGTAATACCAATTAATCGAGTTTTTTTATTGCAATATCTTTGAGTCACTGCTAGAGTAATAGGAGATACATTTTGGAATATTTAAATTATATCAAATTAAATGTTAATCCTAACTTTTTATTAAAGTTTTTGTTTGCAATAATATATCCTGCAAAAGCATGTTCATTTGACTACTTTCTTTTATTAGGGTCTTCATTCTGTGTTATAACACCACTTTTATTCGTAGTAAGAGGTACCATACAATCTGAAGAATCCTCAGCATGCACACTGAAAAAGAAAGACATGTTAAGAAGCAATCTCATTGATTCACTGTTCAGTGGAGACTGAAATAATTAGCTGATAGAAATAGAATTCATAATATTATCTAGAAGATATATTTTGTCCATATCATCATTTAATTGGCTACTCTTTGAAAGATGAAAACTTGGAGAAAACCTAAATGAGGAAACCAAAAATGACCAGAGGTTGATGAATCCATGATCCACAATAACAGACTGAATGAACAAGAGTCATTTAGCATGAACTCAACAAGGAGGAAAGAAATCACAATGTTCCTTCCTAATTAGTGGCTTCCTGTTCTTTCAGCTTTCATGCCGATGATTTAGGTAAATGTCTGGTTAACAATTCCAATATGATTTTAACAATCCTCATTTTTTGATTTCTCAAAAATAGTCTTAACATAAAGTTATAGATATTTATAGATAATATATTATCTATATCTATATACCTGCACCTATATAAGCAGAAATTGATTAGTTTAGGAATACTTAAAATATGTTCTCAAGGTTTTAGCAATGTAACAGAGATTCTCAGTATCCAGTAGATAATGATTGATAAAATCCATCTACCATTTTAAAAAGATAGATAAAATCTACCTCTACCCTTTTATCACAATTAAAACTCTCAAAACTTTTTCAGAATGGACAATCCATGTATTTCAAAATACTTCAAATGTATTAAGCAATATAGCATCCTGTGAGTAAGGGAACATTATTCTTTCTATTTTACAAATTAAAAAGATTAGATAGGTTAATAAAAGAAATCTGACACGAAATGAAGGAGAGGAAGGAGGCTGAATTGCAGTGATGTGGGTGTCTGTTACATTTCAGTCTTTGTATAAAAGTATTTCTACTCACTCACTATTTTAAGGATCTGCTACATTAACAATACCATTTCCTTTCCCTTCACCTTTTAGAACTTCCATAAATGTCTTTATTTCTGATTCTTTTCCTTTTGACTCGACAGAGTTATTGTGAATTGCACAGAGGATCCTTAGTCAGGAACTATAATCATTTTATCATATATTTACTTAGCAAAGTTGAATCTTCAATAGCATCATTCAAAAGCGCATGCTGCAAATTGTGTGAATATTCTGTTTCTAATATTGGCTGTTATATTATCTCTTCCACATAAATGCATGCCTGTGATTTATTTTGTTTTTTCACAACTGAGAGTCAAGATATTTTTTCTCATCTCCTTTCTCTGTCTCTGAGCCAAAACTCTGAGGAGGTTCATTCCACAGATAACTTGGTCAAATCCACTACCAGCAGAACTGGGCACAATTTCATACTCTTTAGTAGAGATATGACTAATCATGAATTGTACCATTGAACTTGGACCAAAAGTACACTTATTTCCAAAAACAATAATGAATTTCATGGTTTCATATTACAGAGAAAGTACAGTACATTCCAAAATAAGATCATAATTTACTTAAGAGAGAGCTTTCATTATTAATGACCAACTGAGATCTGCATGCTGTGCTTTCTTCTATTAATATGATGTGTGGTCATGAATACAAGGCATTGTATGTCAGGACTGAGGTGGAAACCAACCCTGAAGCTTTCACCATCAGCCACCTACTATCTTCCCACCAAAAGGTTTTGAAGTGATATCTACACAGTTATGTTTCCACTTGGACCTCTTTCCTGGGAGCTGCATGCTGAATGAGCTCTTGTAGTTCACATATAATTTTTATTTGTGTCCTCCCAGTTGCTTCTACTGGCATGGATTGGGGCTAAGTTTTCATGTCTGTAGTTATTTCATAATTGTTTTCTAGGAAACACAGACTTATTTCAACATACAAAAGTTTTGTACCATATCGTTGTATTATTTTCAGAATTATCCTATCTAAATTCCATCAGAGCTCACCCTCTTTCTTCCCATTTCTTTTTTCTCTCCTATCATCCTATGTGGCGTCTGCTTAATGTGTAGAATAGCTGAATGCTGACGTACCAGTGAGGATGAAGCAACAGTGGATAATATTCTCTGCAGTATGAATTTTCTGCTAACAGTTCGGAAACTAAATGTACTGTTCTGTAGGTTCAGCAGCTCTTCATGCCATGTAGAGTTAAATGCTCTGTGCATTCACAACTTCGGTGATGAACCAGAATCCATGAATGCTTTCTTTGTGCTGGTCATAAATCTGCTATATAAGCTGCTGCGAAGCATAGTTAAGACAAAATATTCTTTTAAGAGCTGAAACTTGTTTGTCCTCCCCCTCCCCCAATTTTAGTACCACAGAAATCTTGTAAGGATTATGATGCACATCTGAGATCACCGAGTGATTACTGCCACCTAGTTAATTCTCCATGCAATTAGTTGTATGCAAATAGTAGAAATAAAGGGCCAAGTCCTCAGTTTATGTAACTGTCTGGAAATAATGACAAAGTGAGGACATTGAGTCCTGTCTCCATTAAGGAAAACTTGCTTTCTGCCATACATTTATTTGTTAGCATATTGCTAATCATTTGTTTAGATGTTTATATCTCCAATTAACAGATCTTCTTGTCTCAGATATCCTCGTATGTGTGCTAAGTTTCCCCCCTCTATTGCAAGCGCTATACCACTTTTCAAGGTATTTTGCCTCCATACTATTATCACAGTCACTGAATTCATAAACAAGAGAAAGAAAATGGCCACCCATTACATGGTGAGAATAGGGGTGGATTGTGCCTGCACTACCCACTTGCTAGAAGAAGTCATTCACCATTCCTAAAGATTTGAGACAAGGATATCCCATGATAACAGAACAAGCCTCCCGGTGACCATTCATGCTTGATTAGAGCAAAAGTCAGACATTTTATCATTAGTATCAGTGTCCCACCACTGATATCATTCTTTCCAATAGTCACATTCTAACACATTTTTTTTACCAACTCCACTGCACACCTTCTTCTCAGAACCCTCAGTATGAAGTGGAAAGCACAAGCCTGGGACTCATCTGCTCCCACTGTTGGCCTTTGTGGTGTGTCTTGTGGCAGTAAACTGTATTTCTATGAAAAATAGATTGGTCTGTGCACTCACCTTCCCTCTGTCATAGGAATTATATAGCCCACAGCATCTGACAGGAACTAGGCATTACTTGGCCAAGCACCTAAACTTCTGAAGACTCAAGCATTTTACAGACAGAGTCCAGAGTCAATCTGAGTCCAGAGCCTAGTTGGAGAGAAACACCCTCTTTTTCACCAGGATCCAGCTCCCTTGGAACAGTGCCGGCTTCATCCCATTAAAATTAAATAAATTCTGCAGACAAACTTCCTGGCCCCCAACTCTTGTAATCAGGCCAAAACCTTCTTATGTACAATCAGTTTTACCTTGTCAATCCAGGAGAGACGAAAAAGCTATCAGAAGGCATGGTGAGAACCTTGTATGTTAATTGCCTTTCAGACTGGAGAAAAATGCAGGAAAAAAAAAAAAAAAAAGGCTAATTATAAGAGAGGACAATGAAAAATTAGTTGCTTTGTCTAAATGCTTCCAGTTGTTGATAAATACTCACTGTTTAGTCTCACTGATTTTTTTCAGCCTGCAGCTGCAAAGCCCGTGTTGCTCGTGCCTTGCCATGACTGACAATCTGACTGTGTGCCAGACAATCACCAGTTCCCGCTCTGCTGTCTGTTTCAGTTATTTTTTAAGAGCATTTTTTTCTCCTTTTCTTGAACCTGATGATCTCACACCGGAAACTCAGCTTTTCTCCCAAAGAAGAGAGTCTTTTGTGATGGCAACAGAGCACTCTTACAATCAGCTGGGAGTTTTCCTTACTTAGGCAAGAAAAAAAATAAGGTCAAGAATTGACAGAGTTCCAGCAGTGCTTAAACTCTAACAGCACAAAAAAGCTATTTAAGGAGCAACAAAAACCTAAAGACACATTTACGCTGAGGTAATGGTGACATAATTTTTTGGAGAATAATTCTCAGTTATTTTAACCTATTTTTTCTTGCTGCATTCAGGACCAAAATGTGAATAGGATATAGATGTAAACTTTACATGGAGACAGTGTGTCTCACAAATCAGCACAGAAATGTTCAGCACAGAAATGGCTCTTTACCTTGATAATAAAGGCCAGTTTGATAGTTTATTTTCTTTATTCCTACAATGAGTCCATTGAAAAACCTTCATCATTTTTATTCTGCTTCAATGCCTTACAGTTTTCTATCCCTTGTAAAGGAAATAAAGTTACTGAAGGCAATTTGGAGGCTCTGAATGAGATCTTGTTTTGAAGTTTCATAATGATTTCATGAATTTATTTTGTACTGCAAATTACAGTCTCTTGATTGCTAACATGAGACTTTTAGGTTTTTATTAGCATGTCTGTGGCCAAGAGACTGGTCAAATTTACTTTTGCCTTGATTCAAGCTTCAGCAGTGCCCTCACTTTACAAGTAAAAGCACCCTTTGTGATCAGAATATCTTTACCCTGCTAATCTAATTTTTCTGCTCCCATTTTTCATTTCCCAGTTGAGTGCTCCATGTTCTGCTGCACAGACATTCCTGGAGAGGAGTTAGTGCCTATTTCTTCTGTCATATAATACTATGGGAAAGAAAATCTACTTTTCACTCATTTTGCCCTTTAGAAAGTCTTTTCTACTCCATTAGTATTGCGTGAAGGGGTAGAAGTGATCCAGTTCCTACAGTAAGCCACTCTCTGTGCCCCAGAAAGTATATGAACTTTTTTCCAGATGGCACAGAGAAGAGGCAAACTAAAGCTTCTGAAATGCTACCAAGATTTCCAAATTAACATTTTGACCTTTATCTTCTTATAGTAATCTCAAATTATCTTGCATCGGAGACAGAGTGTAAGAATGAAGCCAGTTTTCCACTCAGGTAGCTTAAACTTTCCAAAAGGTGTTCAGATTAGCTAATGTAGTTATACAGATAGACACAGAGACAGAGACAAAGGTAGAGATATAGAGATAGACAGATATAGATATTTCTTCAACAGTCAGTAGAGCAGAGATATTCACATGAGGCCAGTTCAAAAGAGGGTGGATGGGGAGGAAGGTATTTTTAGTTTGCTTTTGTTTTCTCACTGCTCTAGTCTGCTAGTGATAGGCAATAAATTGCATTAATTTCCCTATGCTGAGTCTGTTTTGCCCATGAAAATACTTGGTGAGTGATCTCCCTGTCCTTATCTCAACTCTTAGGTAATAGACAGGTAAAACTACCACAGTAGCCCCTGACAGAATCTGCTCTTCTGGGGAGTATATAAGAACCAGAACCTTATGGAAACTGAGCAAACTTAGCAGAGGCTTGCTAGGAAGTTTGCTGCAAGGCAACATGAGTTTAAAAAAAAAGCCCCAAAAAAAAAAGAAAAAAGAAAAAAAGAAAAAAGTGAGCTTTAGCTCGGATCCAGCTCTTAGATCACTATTTAAAACTTCTCATTGTAAAGCCCGGCCAGCTCAGTTCTTCAATGCTGAATGCATATGAATGTTAAACAAAGATTTGTTAAGAATAAAACCACATTACGCAGGTTCAGGATTAGATACTGATCATGCATGTTAGGTTAGATTCTTTTTGAATCTGCTCCCTGAGTCTCCCAGCATTCTCCTCGCTATTTAAAATAAGTGGTGTACATCAGCAGAACTGCCTCTCCTCCTAATTGCTTCTTTCTTTTCTTCCACCTGAAAAATAAAGTTTTGCACAGAGAAAAATTGCTTCTTTCTTTTCTTCCACCTGAAAAATAAAGTTTTGCATAGAGAAACATGTCTCTGGGTCTTCAAAAATATCAAACAGTTTTCAAAAAGTCAAACAGTTTTTCAGACAACATAACATTTTAGGAGGATACATGGCATTATTGGCATCATCTCTGTCTTGTTTAAGGGAACACAATGACTCCAGACATTCTCAGTAACAACAGACTCGATTTGAATTGTAACAAATTGAGATATCCACTGGGTAGATCATCTCATCCTTTCTGCTAATACAGTATTGCTTTCTCTGTTACTTTACTTGGTGCATAATTCTGTCTTATTTTGATGTTTATCTTGATAGAAAATATCTTTGCCAAATAGGTCTATTGCTAGTAAATATAGCATTGTATTTAGTCCCTATTTTCTTGTGGTTTGTGGGATCCAATTTTTTTTTTCAAAAACATTTATATTTCACAAGGCCACTTCCACTAAATGAAGGGAAAGGGAAAGGGAAAGGGAAAGGGAAAGGGAAAGGGAAAGGGAAAGGGAAGGGAAGGGGAAGGGGAAGGGGAAGGGGAAGGGGAAGGGGAAGGGGAAGGGGAAGGGAAAGGGAAAGGGAAAGGGAAAGGGAAAGGGAAAGGGAAAGGGAAAGGGAAAGGGAAAGGGAAAGGGAAAGGGAAAGGGAAAGGGAAAGGGAAAGGGAAAGGGAAAGGGAAAGGGAAAGGGAAGGGAGAAGGGAAGGGAAGGGGAAGGGAAGGGGAAGGGGAAGGGAAAGGAAAGGGGAAGGGGAAGGGAAAGGGAAAGGAAAGGGAAGGGAAAGGGAAAGGGAAAGGGAAAGGGAAAGGGAAAGGGAAAGGGAAAGGGAAAGGGAAGGGAAAGGGAAAGGGAAAGGGAAAGGAAGGGGGAAGGGAAAGGGAAAGGGAAAGGGAAGGGACGGAGGAAAGGGAAAGGGGAGGGAAAGGGAAGAAAGAAGAAGACAGGAAAAACGAAAAGCAGCACCTCCCCCCCCCTCCCTACGCTCCGGCCTCCTCCTCCCCTCCTCCTCCGCCTCATCCTCCCCTCCCCCGCCTCCGCATCCTAGCCCTCCCCTCCCCCTCCCCGCAACCCCGCCCCCCACCCCGCCCCCCAACTCCCCCACACCCCCTCCCCCCTCCACGCCCTCCACTCCACCGACCCCGACCCACCGCCCCCGCCCCCGACCACGCAAACTCCCCACCGCCCCCATCCCCCGCACACGCCCCCGCAAAGAAGAAAAAGAAAAAGAAAAAGAAAAAGGAAAAGAAAAAGAAAACTCGGGAAACCACCAACAATTTATATATTTTTCAGAACTTGAGACCAATAAGTGTTGGTTTGGCAAATTCAGGCTGCAACCTCTGTCTGAGTCTTTACAAAAACATGCTATGTTCTTGTAAAGACTCAGACATGAATACTAGTCAGATATCATCCTCTAATTATTTTAGAACATTTGGTCCTGAAATAAATTCCAGGCATTCAGAAAAGAATGAAAATGAAAGAACTGAAGAAAATATTTCATCCATATTTTGGGCAAGAGTTGACATTTATTTATAAATAATAAGCAGAAAACTGAGCTGCAAAATTGCTCTTTTTATTCTTGGTTACTTAACTGTTCATGACATAGTAAAGCCATTGTCTCTACAAAATAAAGTTATTTTGTTCTTTTATATTTTTTTTTTAGTAATCATGAGTTAATTAAACTTCAATGTTTTGTATAATATAACAGCTGGGTTTGAATCACCCCGGATATAGTTTGCAAAGCCAAAACCAAATTGATCTCCCAGTGTGTGAATAAGATGAAACCAGACTCTTACATGAGAATAATAAGCACCACACATTTGTGATTCACATTTGCAAAATCAAACCAGGAAATAAATTGCGAAAATGCCAAAATAAACCAAGCTCTGTTCAATCTATTTTCTGCCATGTTTTCCTAAAGAAATAATTTTAATGTGATTGTGTTGTCTGGGCAAACATCTATCCCACTGTCTATAATGATTTTTAAAGCCACGGGACAATTTTAGTCAAGTTTGAGTGAGGGATAAAGGTCACAAAGTCACAAAGTCAGATTTTTACAAATCTTGCAAGATCTATTAACCAGATATGGGAAAGAAATACAAATTACACTTCCAGTGAGGAGATGGTAAAGGAAACTTGCTCATAATATGTTTTGGTTGATACCAGTCAGCTTGCCAATCATAGTTTTAGGTGAGCCTAAAGGGGAAGAGAGGATAATACAGGAATGTAAACTGATCTGGGGTAGTTTAGTGCCAGTTTAGAAACTTTGTCATATAGAATTCAATAGGAAAACACATTTATTTTGGTCAACTGATTACAGAACAAAATGTTTTTTCCCAAAATCAGCAGCTCACTTAGTCTTTTGTTGCTGTTATTATTTTTCTTCTTCGTTTACCCAGGCAGTCAGAGGTGGACATCAGAGTTCAGGATCCTACTTAATAAACACCTGAAATTTCTGTGAACCTTTGTGAATCTTTGATTTAATCAATCGAGAACTGCCTTTAGCATAATATTCTGTGATTCTGTGATTCTGTAATATTACTGTTCTTATTTTCAGTACTTCCAATAACAGAAAATCGAGATTCTAATGCTAAGCATGTGAGAAAGGTTGTTTGGTTTGGTTTGGTTTGGTTTGGTTTTACTTTTACAATGTATAGCTGGTGTTAGACAAAATGCATGCCTAATCAAAACTTTGCTTATAGTGATCCTACAAATGCTAAATTGATGTTCATTCTATTTGTAGTCTTGAATCACCATTTGCATTTAGCCTTTTTACTGATTTGACCTGACTAATAATTATATTAAAGATATAACAAACAGTAGCTGAAACTACTAAAAGGTAAAGTAGCTGCCACACAGCTCCAGACTGAACCATTACTGCAGTGACTGTTGAGCACATTCAAAGACTTTTGGGACATGATCTGCAGAAGGACTTATGCACCTTACTACCACTTTAGAACATAACCCCAGATTTTAGGTCTAAAGGCCACTGCTCAGATGCTACTTAACCTTGGAAGGAGTTTAAATTTTTCAGCTGTTTAATTTTAGACCCAGAGCTAAAACGACATGATGCCTTCAGTGGATTTATA